GAAAAAAAAAAACCGTGAAAAATGGGCCGTTTTGGGGAGGTTTGCAGAGTGCAAAAAACTTTTATTGCTAAATTGCCTCTTCAAAACCTTGGTGCGTCTTATATTCCGGTGTGTCTTATACTCCAAAAAAAAATACGGTAAGAAAAAAAATCAAAGAACCAACTTTTCATTGAATATATTTAATACACATATATGTTGATGTTTATGTACTGTATATCTGAACATAGACTCATACTGTTAATTACCTTCCAAAACATACCAATAGCACCGTATAATCTTAACCTATGCTTCTAGCCAAAGACTTAGGGAGAAACTTTCTCTAGCAACTGTTTGGTGATGGTCTAATAACTTTCCTCCTTGACTGGGAATGAGACTTGGAATGCTAGTTTGGGAAATCTAAATTGCTGAAATATCTTGTCAATTTTCTTGAATGCCTTAACTTTGCAGCACTTTAATCACTTTTTCTTAGATTTGACTTAAAGTTGTGTCATTGTTATAGAGCAAATAACTCTTAAGTTTATGAATTTTTGTGGCTTTAAGCAGTATTTTAAAAACCTTAATTGCAGCAGCCTTTTAGCTTCTATAACTCTCTCTATTAATACAATATAGCTTTCTTCAGAATTTTTGGGATGATTTGTCATAAAACAATTGAGGTTGTTAATGTTGGTGGAATCTTTCTATCTTTAAAACAATTATTTTTAACCCTCTCTCCCAACTGTTTTACTTTTAAAGATTCATATTCAGAGAACAGAAGGCTGTGATCATATGACTTGCTCACAATGCAACACTAACTTCTGTTACCGCTGTGGGGAAAGATATCGCCAGCTTCGTTTCTTTGGAGATCACACATCAAACCTCAGTGTTTTTGGATGCAAATACCGCTACCTCCCTGAAAGTCCACATTTAAGGAGATTAGTGAGAGGCTCTGTCTGTGGTAAGTGGGTAATAAAGCCTTTTGGGAAATTACATCATCTATGAAGTACTTGCCATTGATAGGAACACTGATGCTTATACCTCATAGAATAATAAACATTTCTCCTCCAACTATAAATGTTTGTTCTGAACAAAAGATTCATTACCATGGGAATCTCTTCTTAAAGTATGTTTGTCAGGTTTCCTAATTCTGTGCATCTTGAGGTTGCATGAAGAATTGCTCAAAGGTGATTTGACTTAATAGATATATAATTAGATGCCAGTTATATATTCTGATAATCTAACAATCAAGAGCAGGTGCGTCCAACCTTAGCAACTTTAAGGCTTGTGGACTTCAACTCCCAGAATTACCCAACCTCCACCATAGAATGAAGAAATTAGAACTTTGGTTTCACAATCAGATCTGTTAACATAATATAATGATGGATTTATCCTAATATTTTCTATACATTTCAGACTTAATCTGTTTTTTAAAAAATGCAAATCATGTTAGATTTAAAGAAAATAATAAACAACTAGGCTTACACATTTTCCATTTTTCTGAAGCCATTTTTACCTCCATCCATCTTAGTCCCTTGTCTCTGTCTCTATATGGGGGATGCTCCCATACAGCCCCTTTGACTTTCAGAAGAACTGGTAATAAATTGAATAATTAATTAATCTTGAGGGGTCTAATAGCTGCCAAATGTTACGTTGCTATTACAAAGAATGAGTTTCAAGGTACCGGGGTTTTGCCAAATCATGATGCAATCTTATTAAAAAATAGAAAGGTTATATGATATATAGATTTTTTGTGCTTTAATGGAACTCTCATAATACATATCAGAATTAGGGATAAAGGGGAGCATAGCAGAATAGTTCTGTTAGAACTTTTTATTTCTTTCATCCTTTTACAAAATCATGATGGAACAGCAAACATAGCAAAATAGCAGCAGAGTTTAAAATAAATAAAATACACTGGATGTTTTAAAAACACTTGTCTAAACTGAAATGATGATTGCTTATGATTCAGAATTATTTTTTAAAAATTAAGGGGAATTTCTTGACAATTATACTGGATTGCTAGAAGGACCTTGCTTTTTGTGTATTGATTTTATAGAGCTGCTAATAAGTACTAAACATTGAGAAATGGGTAGAAAAGAAAATGTGTTAAGGAGACACATTAATAACAATACTAGTAGCTGGAAGAGTAGTACAGTTGCTCTTGCCAATGTAATTCAATAAAATATGAAATAAATGTACTGACCATTCCATTAAGCAATTACTGCAATGGTAACTGTATTATCAGTAGAAGCTATTGTTCTTAGGCATGATGTAGGTTGCCTTATAAATTGTAGGGGGGGTAGGGGGAGTTTATTGACAAGCTACCCAAAAAATATATTTCTACATAATATATTTCTATTATGCATTCCCTTTTCTGTATCTTCATCTGCTAAACTGTAGTGTGGGGAACCTCAAGAAAAAACATGCTTTTAAAAACTATTTGGCAAAGAGCAAGGCAAAATGTTAAGTAATTTATTTTTGCCCAGCTGCTTTGAAACTCAAGATGCTTTTTCAGAGTTGCTGATGTTTTGGCCAAGATTGCATATCTCAGTGATGATTTGGAAATTAGTAAAATGCAGTGCTTTCAAATGTATTAAGATATTAAAGCACTGCAGAATCTGAATCCAATTAAGTGAATTAAATAATAGATCAGATGATGCATTACTGCTTATGTATTGTACTCAGAGGTAAAACAAACCACATAATTCATTTCTTTAAAGTGGGAGAGGGAGCTGCTTGGCATGCAACAGATTTCAATTGATTTAACTTCAGAGGAAATAGAAAGATGTACAGATTACTAAATGATCATGAGTCCCTGTCCATGCATAATCCTCTCTGTAATCAGTAGGAAATATGTACTCTTAAATAAGTCCAGGACTAAATTTAATTTCTCTACTTAACAAAAAAATGCATACAACTGTCTAGGCAGAGCTAGGACAACTAACAAATTAAGCATTCTGAGAGCAACATTTCCAATGCTTATTGAAGTATCGTGTGTATGTATGTGTGTGTTTATAAATGATGCATTGTTTGGAATTTTGATCTGTAATTACATTTGTTATACTGGATTTGATAAAGGAGGGTTGTAAGAAATACTTCATAAGATTGCTTTAAAAACCTACTACACTTGCATCGCATTCGTGTTGGAAGCATTGAGGCACTTGTGGGTTGAAAGGATTAGCTGGTAACATCACAGTTGCCTGGGGATGCCTAGTTGGGGACTCCTTTCATGTCCCTGTTAATGTGTTTATCTACTTGCACTTGCAGGTTTCAAACTGCTATTTGGGCAGGTGGAGGTACTACACTTTGACATGCAATGTGAGGCAAGATTTTTAGATCTTGTTTTTTCCCCTCATCTTCTCCCACGTTGTTTCACCACTGTGTGCATTTCATGCTTGTGAGCTGCTCATAGTGAGTTTCCTCACTGCACAACAGTCTGCTTTTGACAAAGAAAAGCATTAGAGGCATTGCATAATTTGCCTGTTACTGCTATTGTAAATTTCTGGCCCAGTGAAGAATCCCCATTTGACCATGTTGATTCTAGGCCAAGTTCTTTTGTTCATTAAATATTATTTATAAACCAGATAAGTCAACTGACTCTTAAATTCAGAAAAGTCAGTTTAAAGGTGACAATAGATTAATCATTTGCAAACTGAGAATAGACTTGCTGCTGCAGTTGTATTGTTGATTTTGTCATTGCATAGATAGTCTTCGGCTTAGGAACATCATTTACAGTAATGACCAAAGTTACCATGACCTAAGAAAGATGTTTTTCTTGTCATAAACCACAGTCATTGCAAAACATCTCACTTTACCCTCCCTCCACAGTCAAATCACCATATTTTGGAAACTTGACAACTGGCTTGTATTTATGACTGGCTGTCAAGCATCGTACAGTCATGCAATTGCCATTTGTAGTCTTCTCTGCCAGCTTCTGAAGAAGCCAGTTGGGAAGCTCAAGACAAAGGTTGCAAGTAGAGGCGATGGAGAAGAGAGGAAAATACTTGTGGGGCTGCAGGAATAGAGCTGAAACATTTGAGTTTGAAAGGGCTTCCTGCCAGGAGGATTTCGGCTCCACACAGAACTGAAACCCTCTGGTAATCAGCACTTTCACTCTTAAGAAACTGCCTGCCAGGAGGATTTCAGTTCTGCGTGGAGCTGAAATCCTCTATCAGGCAGCTCTTTTGCTCCAGCCACTTAATGACCAGGAGATTGCTTAATTACTGCAACTGGAAGTGCCAAGATTGCAGTTATTGAGCAAAGCAGTCACATAGTGTCTAATTTAAGTACCACTGCACTCAACAACTTCCCTTCCCAAATACCAGCCCCCCCCTTTTCAATGGCAGCCAAGAGCAAATAGCGAAACAGAGGCAATGGGGACTTTCAAAGTTCTCAGTTTCAAGGCCAGTTTTTCCACCACTTCCAGGCTAACGATGCAACGTGTGCATCCCGAATCTAAAAGGGCCAGCATTTTTACTTGGGCTCCAATAGAGGGGCACTTTAAGTTCTACTGGGATGATCATGGGGCCTGATCGGGAACTTACCAGATGGTCATCATCAGATTCAGTTTCACTTTCCCCCGATGAGGGGGATGGTTTTCTTCTATTGGAGTGGGAGGGAATTGCGCAGCAGGTTCCACCCCTTTCATGGCGGTGTCCCTTCTCTTCCCAGGTTGTTTGTCTGGTTTCCTCCCCCGGCAGGGGGCTTTGGACCAATCTTAGAGCGGCAATTTGCTGCCCGGTGCCTCTCCTTTCCGCAACGGAAGCAGGTGATAGATCGGGGCTTGCTTGTAGACCAACTTTCCCTCCTTTCGGAGCTCCTTGGGGGTGGGGTGGGGGGAAGCTTTCTCTTTCTCACTGTCTTCATGAGTTCCACCACAAATCCGCGAAGCCCTTATCCGCGGAGACATAAGTGCGAAGACTAATTCGCGCCGTTCGAAGCGCTAAGGAAAAACGCGACCCTACCGCGATAACATAATCGTGGAGGGCAAATCCGCACATTCCCAAGCACTCAGCATCCTAAACCTAACCCTAACCCTAAACCTAACCCTAAC